TGGCAGGGCATCGAACTTGTGCTGTGGTGGCTGCGATAGCTTCATAGCACTGTGCTTTAGCCCGTTGCACCACCAGGGAGGGGCCTGCTGTGCCTTCATCTATAGCTACCAGCACCTAGAGCCTGGCTTCCAGGAAGCCACTCCCCAAGCCTTCCCAGAGGGCTACAGGGAAGACCAAGCGCTTCCCAGCAGAGCATCCTGTAAAGAACACAGGCTTGGGCCCTCCCTGGTGGCGCAGCGGGTTAAAGCACAGCACCAAGAAGCTTAAGCCACTTCCGCATGAGTTCGATCCCCGCCTGCCCCAGAGGTGACCACATGGCGTGGCAGACCTCTCCTGACCCACCCGCTGCTCCCCTCAGCAGTGTACTTCGTCGATCTGCCTGTTCTGCTCCCCACTCTGTCTCTGGTGAATCCTCTCATCCTCCACATCTCTGGCCTTTACCCTGTATAAATAAATAAATAAATCTTTTTTTAAAAAAAAAGAACACAGCCTTAAACTCAGTCAGACTTGGATTTGAACTCAAGCGCTCTGTGCCTGAGTGAAGGGGACAGTCTCTGTGTCTCACTTTCCCTATCTGGAGGCTGGAAGGGCTTCCAGACTCCACACAGCTCCAGCCCACCCAGCTCCTGCTCACCATGCCCTAGGCTTCTCTACCACATGGTCCTCTTCCCCAGGCCTTTAATGCTCAGTCCCCAGCGGTCAGCATGGGGCCTCCGGCCTGCCTGTGGCATCCTGCCTGGCAGTGCCTAGTACGCCTACATGCCCAGCTACCAGACACCTACTCTACCCCCAAGTCCTGAGAGGCAAATGTCACCATGCCCATTCACTGTTACAGAAACTGCACCTCTGGAAAGTGGAGTGACTTTCTCAAGGTGACAAGGCCAAGTTCATAGAGAGAGAGGCCCAGGTTCAAACCTAAGAGAGCCTGATCCTTGAGGACTGTGGACTGCCCCCTGCACTGGGCTACATTGCAGCAAAAGGGATGAAAGCATGGATTGGTACATGGACTACACCGTACAGGGCTGCAGGAGGGAGCGAGCCGATGAAGGAATGTGTGAAAAGTAGGTGAGTGACTGGTGGACGGAGGAATGCAGAACCAGCTCAGTGGCTTCACGAAAGAAACCACGACTGAATCTGTGACCGCACAGAAACCCCATTCCAGACAAGGCTCGGGCATCACGCACAGGACTAGAGATGGATGGGGTGTCTGGCGACCCGACTAGGCCCACTCCCCCACCGTCAAAGTCTGTGCGTGACTTAATGAACATCTTCAAGTTTGGAGAGAAGCGGCGGGACCACACGACAGAGATGAATTTCACCAAATCTGGCCCATTTCTCACTACCAATTAATTAAGGAAGGAGGCCAGGCCAGTAAATCATGAGAAGACTTGGAATTTGACATTCTCTAATTAGGCCATGAACTATGCCTGGTGAATGGGCAAGTGGTTGACAAGAGTCCTGGGCCCTGGCTCCCCCACCTGCCTTCACCCTACCATCTAAGCTGTCCTGACATGTCCACCTGCACCCTAACACTGACATTGGATAACATCATCAGAGCTTCCTGGACCAGTGATCAGAGCCAGGATTACAGGGATTACAGGGAGCAGGTGTGCAGGACACAGGGAAGCAGGGGTGGGGGGGGCGGGCTGGGGTATAAAAGAGACCCAGGCTCTTCCTTCAACACGTTTCTTTACAAGCAACATGATGTAGAGGGAAAAGAGAGTGAATATATCAGATTTGAGTCCTGGGTCTGCACAGTAGTTCCCAGTCCAGGCTGGCCCTGTCCAGGGCTCTTTAAAATGGGGGGGAGAGGGGTGGCTAGAGGGATAATCCCTGTGGCTTTGCAATGTAACTGCTGTTACATTGACTGCCAGAGGCCCTGCTCAGGACTAGGATTAAACTGCTGCTCCCCAACTTATTAGCTGTATGCACCTAAGCAAGTAGTCTCACTTCCTTAAGTCTCCCTGCCTTCCATTAACAGTGAAGGTAATAACATCACTCTTGGGACGGAGCTGTGGCAACAGTTAATGATGTGATGGAAGGAGGGGCTTGGCAAAGTGCTTGCACAATGCAAGTATCCAATTTGCTATTGTCCTTTTCATCCTTGCCCCAATGTCCTGGTTACTTGATAGGACAAGAATAAACTTCTCTTTTGCAGAGGACCAGATACTAAATATTTTTGATTTTGTGGACTATATCTCCTGGGACCACTTCATCCTTCTGCTGTAACTTGCAGACAACACTGATCAAATGAGCATGGTTGTGGCCCTTTAAGATTTTATGTGTCACAAAAACACTGATTCAAAAAGATACCCGCAACCCCATGTTTATTGCTGCTTTATTTACAATTGGAAAGACATGGAAACAGCCCAAATGCCCCAAAGTGGATGACTGGATTAAAAAGATGTGGTACATATACACAATGGAATATTACTCAGCAGTCAAAAAGATAAATACATGCCTTTTGCAGCAACATGGATGGAGCTGGAAAAGATCATGCTAATGAAATAAGCCAGAAAGAAAAGGGAAAATACCATATGGTTTCACTCATAGCAGGAGTATAACAGACCAGGGGAGAAAATAATAATAATGGACAATTATATACCAGAGACATTTTATGGGGGAAGAATGGGGATGGGATCAAAAACAGTGGAGGGAGAGAAATGCACTGGACTATGGTGATGGCACACGGGTGATCTGGTGATGGGAAGCCCATGGGGATTACAACTGGGATGGAAAAATGCACAAAATGATGTAAAAAGAAACTATTATATTATTTTTTTAAAAGATTTTATGTGTCAAAAAATTAATTTAACTGATTTTTCACGTGATGCAAAATATTATTCTTCTGATAATAAATATAATTTAAAAATAATAAAAACAAACAGAAACATTCTTAGCTCGTGGGCCTTACACACTAAAACAGGAAGCAGGGTGACTGATGTCCATAAGCCAACTTATCCTTGTCACTAGAAAATAAACCCATGAGGACAAGGGTGTGTGCGTGTGTGTCAACACTTTTCTCCCAGCACCCAAAGTGGGCCGATAGCAACTAGTCAATAAATATTTGCTGGTTAAATAAATTACAATTTGTGTGATTCTGTGCAGAGCCACTTCACTTCTCTAAGCCTCAGTTTCTTCATCTGTACCAAGGGGATGCATGCACCCTTTAGGCAAACATCAAATTAAATTAGAATGTGCCTGGAGTCCCTTTGCAAGTTCCACAGTTGTACCATGTAGTTTCTGTTTCTGAACACCAGGGGGCGCCTCGCAGAAACGTCTCTCTCAGCGCCTGGCAGGGACATGTTTCAGAGGGGCATGGAAAAATAATTCAACCTGCAGAAGCCCAACTAGGGCTCCTGTGCCAGTGAAGGCTTGGGGTGGGGGTGGTGGTTAAGACAGAGACCAGGCACAGCAAGAGCTGCAAGAACTGTTTTCTGCTCTCTTGGGAGTATTCATTACACCACGGAAGTACACTAAGTAGGGCTTTGGCAGATGGGTCCAAATTCTGGCTCCAAAATGACTATGGGATTTTAGGCAAGTCACCAAAACCAGCTGAGATTGTTTGCTTGTCTTAAAATGAAGCTGTGTACAGTGCTCACTGTCCTGTGTCCTGTGAGTGTCGGGGGCCAGTTTAGCACCACTACACAGTAGGCCCTGCAGACTGAGAGCATCAGTGTCTGACTCCCAGGCTGGAGCCAGCCCGTCTGCACTGAAAAATGTGCATTAGTGCCTTCTGGCTTTGGTGCAGCATCAGGATGGAGGAAGGAAAACTTGCCTCCAGTCTTCCCAGCTGTGCAGGTTTTCAGCTCTAAGCAAAGCAGCTCTGCTGTTCTTCTTCCCTGGATAGAAAACTTCCTGCTGTTCTGTAAAATCATTCAAGCTGATAAAGTCACAGCCTTAAGAGGACTAGTGATACCAAGTTGCTTCTATTTTCTCCTCACACCCATCCATCCTACCAACCAACATGAAAGAAGACCACAAACTCCATTTGGCCATTTTCTCATTGTATAAGGAAAATCTTTATGAGAGAGGGGAGTTGTTTGTTCAACAAGTGAAGCTGAGATGCTCATTGCATTTACGTCACCCTATCTATCTGATCACCCCACTTCCATTTAGCTATCTGAAAGAGCGTACACACACACACACACACACACACACACACACACACAAAGGCTTCCCATGCTACAGGAAGGGTGCACTTTGTCCAGAGAGCTGCAAGTACTGCTCCACCATCTCGCTGGGTGACTCAAGACAAATTACTTTCCCATGCTGAGCAACAGCTGTCTCCTCTGTAAATGACCAGCTTCCCATCCACTTCCATCCTCAATTAAACACACTCTCTGGGGCTGTGATCCTAATCTCATAATCTGTGTAGATTTAGAAAGAAGCACGTTGAAAGGTGACCACTGCCTCAGAGGCCAGACCCAAGTGAAGGGGACGAGAGTGTCGGGTGCAGGTTTTCTGGACCCGATGGTGGGACTCAGATGCAGTGGATGGGGAACAGTGTGCTGACCTCATCCCCATTCAGACCAGTCACAGGAACAGACTCAAGGTACCAGCCTTGCAAGACCACAGCCCTGCAAAACCACCTGGACACACAGGGTCTTTCTACTTCTCTTCCATAAACATTTTTAGTCTTTCCTTAAACCTCAGTTGAGTAATCCCCAAATGTGAGCCCTGACTTCTCCTGCCCAACCTGTTAAAGTCAGGGCCTACCTTGGGCTCAGATCTACTTCGGGGGAAGGAGTGCGATATCTGGCAAGTGTGGAGGGGCAGTTGGAGTCAGCCGTGTTGCACCTTATACAGGAAGTGCTCAGTGCCCCTCTGAGCCCTACCTCTCCTGGCCAAGCTCCTCAGTCCCTGTCCCCTGCTCTTCTTCCTCAGTCTAGACCCAGGAGCCCCGTCTGAATGATACATGGGAACGGAGAGGCTCAGAGGAGGAGCTCCAGAAGAGACCCAGATGGCCTCCCGCCGACCAAGCCATCTGCACACGTACCTTCTCCAGCTGGTGGACACCCTCCTCCACACAGCAGATGGAGGCCAGTGTGCGGAGCGCCTGGGGGTACAAGCACCGGAAACTGTCCTGCCTGCAGACCTTGAAGAGCGCCACCACCCCGCCCTCCTGCCAAGAGAAAAAAAAAAAATGTCACATTACTTCCTGGGTGACCCTTCCCGAGATGGACTCAAGAGCGACTGATGTCCCTCATTCAGCAGGTATGCGTGGAGTCTGAGGGGTGGCAGAATAGGCCACCCCGAAATACTCCACTTCAGCGTCTCACCTGTCCTGCCATCAGTTTCCCATATATTTGCCTTTCCACAATTCGCCGCTCCTAATGACTCAAGGGTTTTGTTCTTTTTTTTTTTTCCATTTTCTTGTTACTTCTCTAAAAACGTGCTGCTCATTTGCTAAAATGCCAAATAAACCTAAGTTTTAACCAACCCTTTGAAGTATTCGTCTCTGAGTGTTCCCATGGCTAAGTGTGTTGTACATGCTAACGTCCTTTTGTTTGTTCTTCTCTTGTTAATCTGTCTTCTGACAGTTCCGTTTATAGGCCACCAGTCAGAGAGCCTAAGAAAGTACTAGAAAAAAATAATTTTCCCTCCCATGCACACACGCACATCAGCACAGATGTGCTCCGCACTCACACGCTTCCATGCCCATTGGCAACGTGAAATGCTAGCTCCAGAAATGTCATCACCCCTGGGTATCCAAACTAGAGGTGGAATTTCCCAGTGCTTTTGAGGTAACATGGGAGAGCCATGGCAAGCATATTGGCTCCGGTTGAGGTTCAGTAACACTCAATGGAACTCCCAGATGCCTGGCAACCCACTCTCAGCAGCTCGCCTGCAGGCCAGCCTGGAGTCATTGGACAGGTTCCAGAACTAGCCTAAAGCAAGTGGGGGCACAGAAGCCCAGATGCCCACTGCTGGCTCCTGAAGCTCTGCCATCAACCACGTCACTGCCCAGACCCTGCCAGGCACCAGAGGAGGCGCATGAAACAGGAGTCTTATTTATATAAGTTCTATAATTTATCCCCTTCTAAAGCTCAGATGGCTGAAATAAATCACCCACCTACATGGACCTTGTTTTCACTCCAGTTTGTACAAAAAATCACCAGCCTTTCAGGAAAGAGCAGTTCTAAGTGAGCACAGTCTATGCTTTCAATTTTGTGAGAACCGTTCATGGAAATACCTTTTATCTTGTGGGGTTTCTAGGCAGGAGAAATCTAGGAGGACTTCTGGGGAGAATCTGGGAGTGAGCACTTGTCCTAACTGGATATGTTTCTCTAGAATCATCTCTGGAGCCCACCTTAGCTCTGGGAGTAAAGTGAGAGACGCAACAGCTCACACAGGATGTCCCACCACTGGGACATCCCCAGCAGAAGCCAGAGACCCATGTTCGGCTTTGCCTGTTTCCTCCTACTCCCCTCCACTGAGAGCTGAAAGGGCATGAGCAGGTGATTACCCTGAGCCTAGAGGCCCTCACCTTTACCTCATCGCTCTTGGCTCCGAGCCCACTGCACACTGTTCCCTAAACTGTTACAAGAGGAAAAAGGTAAATTCAATAACCTGTCAGACTTTTCAGGACTCAGAAAAAATTGGCACTGCCCATGGCTATGCTCCAGGCACTGTTCCATGCACTGGAGATGCACCTGTGAGAGGCCGGAGGCACAAATGGGAGCAACAGGGAGAGGAAGCCACATCCATGGTCCCGGAGCACAGGCTCACGGCGGTTCCACCCAGGTCTGCCCTTCCCTGCACGCCGCAAAGAGAGGCTCGGGGCCCCTTTCATTCCGAGACTCTGCTGTTTATTTCTGGGAGGAAAAAACGAAAGTGTGTAATTCTGGGGAAGTTGATAATTTGTGACATTTTATAATTAACTAAGAGTGATCTTGGGTTTTATATTCTTACTTCCTTTGGGGAATAGTTCATCTGGCATCTCCATAGGGCTGGAGAGTTCATTCACACAATCATTCCAAGGAGGCTGTTTATTATGTGCCACACTTTGCTGGGCTCTCAGTAGGATAGCCTCACCCCTGTTCTTACTGAGCCAAAGGAGACAATTTTAAAAGCAGGCATGGGGGTGCAAGGAGATGGTGGGGGTGGGGATTGCAGAAACACAGAGCAGGAATCAAATATAACCTGGGTCTGCAGATAGGCCAAAATAAATCTTTTGGGTTTCAAATGCCATCATCACTCAGCCCAAAGCATGTTTGGTATGAGACATGCACTTGGCCCTTTTGTTCCTGCCCCACCATTCTTGATGGCTGCCTTCCTGCTCCTTTCCCACGGTCTCTGGGACATCTGGTTAGGATTCCTCATCGAGGTTTTACTTAAAGACTCACTGAAGTAAAATCAAGATACTCTTTAGAGTAATAAAACAGAAACAGCAATCTTAAGTTCTTCCCAACCAGGCTGCTGGTCATTAATTAGCTCCCTCCAGATATAAGAGCATTAATGCACACTTGTGTGTGTGTGTGTGTATGTGTGTGAGTATAATGGATACTTATATTTAATCATATATATTGTGCAAATAATATTTCTATAGTGGAGATACAGACAGGTGTAGATAATGGGAAAAGAGACAATAGATGGTAGATGGATGGGTAGATGGATAGAGAGATAAGTAGATAGATAGGTAGATAGAGAGATGAACTAATAGGGAGGTAGATAGACAGACAGATATCTACATCTGGAACAGGCAATCACCAATGAAGCATGGTGTCAACACAGACTAAGCCAGGACCAGGATTGGTGTGAAAGCCCCTGTCTGGCTCAGGCTGAACCCAATACAACTGTTTTAGCCTCTGTCCATGTTGATCCTCCCCACAACCTTTCCCCAGCCCAGGAAAGATGGCCTTCTTAGTATTTTAAAGCTACTGGTAAGCCAGAAAGAGAAAGAAAAATATCGGATGGTTTCACTCATAGCAGGAGTATAATGGACCAGACGAGAAAATAACAAATATAATGAACAGCCATATACCAGAGACATTTTGCAGGGGTGGAGTGGGGAATGGGATCAAAAATGGGGGAGTGGGGGGGGGGAGGGAAATGCACAGGATTATGGTGATGGCACACAGGTGACTTGGTGATGGGAAACCCGCGGGGATTACAATTGAGATGGGAAAAAAATGTACAAAATGATGTAAAAATAAACTTTTGTAATAAAAAAAAAAAGCTACTGGGAGAGGAAAAGGGGAAGTCCTGAATTCAGACTGAAGGAATTCAGGTTCAAATCCTAGCTCTGTGAATAGCTGACTTGGTCTAAAAATGGGGTCATATTCCCCCATGGGGAAAGCATTGAGTTAGCAGAGGTGAAAGATCCCAGCACCCAGTTCTGGAGTGGGTGCAGGTCTGGTTAGGATGGCACCACTGTTGGGATGGCTTCATCAATTCATGAAGAGACTTGAGGGGGGAATATGAAAGGGAGAGAAGGAAGAATTCCACAAAGGATGTGAGAGGGATATGTTCTGGGGACCACTCCCAGGCCCCCACTGAGGCCCCAAGAACAGCACTCATCTTAGAGCAGAGCCAGGAATTCCTGTGTTAGCAGAATCACACTGTTGGCAGGAGCCTGTTTAATTTTATAGAAAGCTCTGGGCCCAGAGCCCAAGGGTCTAATAGTATGAATTATTCAGAAAGACTTGAGATAAGCTGCCATAAAGCTGGAGGCCACCATGGAGGGTGCAGGCTAGTGGTGGTGGGGAGTGGTGGGGGAGGGAGACATTTCAGCTAATCATGGAGGAGCTCTCTGCAATCTACACTCAAAAGGGATGAGTTCAGGAGTGATAATGGTAGCAGACAACTATGGGACTATGGAAGAATGGAAGAAAATAATTCATTAATTAATTTAAAAAAATTTTAAAGGGGTGGAGGTTGCCACCACCTTAAGGATGGATAGCTTATTCCTTGACTTATTCCTTGACCTCAGACAGGCTTCCCTATGTCTCCTGGCGTAGCTTGGATAGATGAAGGATTCAAAGGCAGACAACTCTGGACCCCAAAGAGGAGTAGGGAGACCTCTGGAGTCAAAGGATAATACAAATCTTTAAACAACTACTGGTTATAGTTTTTGAGAGACCAAATTTAAGTGGAGGAGAGTGGAGGAGTTAAGGAAGGGGTCCTAGTCCAGGTACTTCACCCCTACTTCCTACCACTGCAAATGTTGGGGATCAATATTTTACCAGAGGTAGGTCCTGGTCTCCAGAGGACATCAGCACCAGTTTCTGCCTAGATGCCTCTCTGCACTTCTGGAGGTGGAATGCAGTCGGGGAGGAGGGAGGAGCCACAGCAGTGTGCAGCAAGGCCTGACACCTGAGTGCCCAGGCTGGGAACAGACACCAAGCGCTTCTGCAAAGACTCCTTCCCAGGAGACCTTTAAGGCCTGTTCTTTCCAAAGCCTAGATCACCTTCAGCCCCGAGACTGTCCTTCAGGACAGTCCTGCCTCTTCCACACTTCAGACCAATCCATACCGTCAGCACAACCCAACCAGGATTACAGAGACTGTAACTCATTATGAAAGGGAAAGATACTCATTATATTGAAAGAGGGGCAGCTAATTTTTGTTTAAAGTTTACCATTAAGCAGATTAATTCATTTCTGCTCAGAGACTGGGGCTGTTCTCTGACCCCAAAGCACAGAAAGAGACTTTTTCAGAGTCAACACTCTTGACCAAATTGAATGATTAAACCTCAGAATCATTAAGAAGGACAGACCTTACACTATCATTACCCCAATATCACAACATTCCAAGTTAAATTCACATAATCACCCAAAAAAAGTTGTGGTTCCTCAAGCAGCACACTAGAATCACCTGAAAAATTCAAATATTCAGGCCAGACCCCTCTCCAGACCAAATTAATCCAATCTAGAACATTCTCAAAGTTCTTATTGACTGCAACGTACACATGACCACCTTTTGGATGAAGAACTTTAAGGGTAGAATTGAGCCAGAAGTATCTACTGTGGACTTCAGGGCCATGAACTCTGAGCTAAAGAGACTTCAGCTCTAATTCTGATTGATAACATCAGTCATGTATGATCTTGATTAAGTCCCTTAAATCTTCTCCTCAGCTCTAAGTGGAAACAACAGGACAAGATAGTTTTTTGATTTTCAAGACATGATACCTGCAGGGCATTATAAACAGTGGCAGAAATATGCAAATGTTACATACTGTGCTCTTACATACAATTCACTTCAATCTTAACCCGTGTTGACAAGCATTTGCTTTGATCTAGATTCTCTGCAGACTTAAACCAGTGATTCTGAGAACATACTCATGACTAGAACTGGTAGAATCCCAGGTCTTAGCCAGAAACCAGTAAATCTTGAGTGGGACATAAGTATGTGCTTTCCACAAATTCCCTAAAGGATGGTGATACAAAGTCATTCTTGTAACCACCACGTAGGAACATCGTTATACAATTGGCATCTTATGTCAACAGAAGAACATAACTTTGCATCCAGGTGGAACACTCGTTCTATCCTTAATGGTGATGTCATTTCTCCAATAAAAAAAGTGAAACTGGGCCCTCCCTGGTGGCACAATGGGTTAGGACGCAGCACTGCAAAGTGGCCACAGACACTTCAGTGTGAGTTCAATCCCTGGCCCCAGAGATGATCCATGTGGCGTGGCAGATCTCTCCTGACCAGCCCACTGCTCCCCTCAGCAGTGTACTTCATCAGTCTGCCTGTTCTGCTCCCTATTCTGTCTCTGGTAAATCCTGTCACCGCCCCTGCACCTCTAGGCTGTACCCCAGTTTTGTATGAATATGTTTAAAAAAGTGAAATTGACACAGATCTAGTGAAGACCTGAGGCCACCAATTGCCTATATTTGCTCTACTTATTTGAACATCAAATGCAGGAACAAATTGATCATGAAGCTCCCACATGAAGAGAGATGATAAAGCTTCTGAAGGCATCAGCTTTTTTAAATCTCAAGTGTGAAATAAAATCAGTGGAGCTGGCCCTCCCTGGTGGTGCAGCGGGTTAAAGCACAGCACTGAGAAGCTAAAGCCACTTCCGCATGAGTTCGATTCCCGCCTACCCCGGAGGTGACCACATGGCGTGGCAGACCTCTCCTGGCCCGCCCGCTGCTCCCCTCAGCAGTGTACTTCATAGATTTGCCTGTTCTGCTCCCCCCTCTGTCTCTGGTGAAGCCTCTCGCCGCCCCTGAGCCTCTGGCCTGTACCCCAGTTCTGTATGAATAAATAAATAAATCTTTATAAAAAAAAAAAATCAGTGGAGCTAGCCACCATTATATATGGAGACATGGGGCCCAGTGAGGGATGGTGACTTTTGCAAAGTCATACAGCAAATGCTAGAAGCAGGAGAGACTTTGAGTCAACTCTTCCCACCAGGCCAACTTCCTCCCACTCTTCCCAATATTGTCATTTTAGCTCCTAACCTGAAAAACTCACCTTAGCTATGATGCGGCACAAGGGAGCTCCCTCCTGGGTCAGGCTAAACAGGTTCCCTGTAGTGGATTCAGTGGTGTAGAGATTGTCTGAAGCATCGATTTTTCTCACTAGTGCCTAAGAAAAAGAGAACAAAGTCTGCTGATTATCACCTCCAATACCCTCCACTGATCTCCCTTAAAGGAATACTAGTAGGTCCATGCTCCTAAAAGTCCCTGGAACCTATAACCTGCTCCATCAACCACCCCACTATGGGGGTAAGGAGGTTCTAGTTTGGGGAAAGGCATGAGTCAGTGTGGAGCCTGAGCTATATTTCAGAAACATGGGATAATTTCAGACACCTGGGTTGGGACAACAAATGTCACCCTGTTCCAGTAGGTAAGGAAATCAGCTCTCAACACTGATGGACCCAGCAATTCTTAATGGAGACAGTCACCTTAGCTAAATTAACAAATTTTCAAGTTGAAAGCTAGTGTCATTACAGCTATGTCCGAAGACTGTTCACATTTGGATGGCTATTATCCAGTGGCGAGCTCTGCCTGGGTATGGACTCTGGGATTGCATCAGAAGAACTCTACAGTAGCGGATTATTTGAACAACACTGACATTGGGTAGACAGCCAGGCCAAAATAATAACACCCAGAAGCTGTCAGAGTGAGCAACTGAGAGAGGTATGAACACAGCTCAAGACTGAGAGATCTAAGACTATTGGTGAGCAGAGAGGGAATGACCGAATATAAGACCCAGAGAGGACAGGAAGCAAAGAAAATGGAAAATTCATCAAGAAGTAAGACATGAAGATTATTCCTAGAAGAGTTTAGCTTATTTCTGGGAAAAAGCTTTTCACAAATCTTAAAACACTTCATAATCAGCCATTTGCTTTGAAGCATGTTATTCTTTGATTATAGATGATTCCTACCTGTTAATTGCTAGTTGAGTTTTTTTGGGAACAGTGAGGAGATAGAGATGGGGGAGAGCTGCCTGGGGGTCTCATACAGAAATCTAAGACCTCTAGATGTGGGTGTTCTAAGCAGCCATTACGCAGTGTCTATTGCCATGTTTATTTTGAAATATTAAAATGAATGGGTTTTTTTATTTTTGCTTTTGTTTTTAAAAAGATTTAATTATTTATGCTTACAGAACTGGGGTACAGGCCAGAGGTGTGGTGGGTGAGAGGATTCACCAGAGACAGAGTGGGGAGCAGAACAGGCAGACTGACAAAGTACACTGCTGACGGCAGCAGCAGGCAGGTCAGCAGGGGATCGAACTTGTGTTACAGTGGCTTCCACAGCTTCCTAGCACTGTGTTTAACCCACTGCACCAGCAGGGAGGGCCCTGAAATGAATGTTTTTAAGGAAATATGGAAGAGGCGTTTTAAAGAAAATGTAGTCATTAAATTCTAGTGCCAGTTTGCCTTTTTTTTAATGCTCCGTGTTGATGGGGAAGCGTGAACTAGTTAAAATCATGGCTACTGGAGCCAAACTTCCCAGGTTCAAATCCTGCCATTTCTACTATAGCAAGTAACTTAACTCTTCTGTGCCTCAGTTTCCCCATTTGTAAACAGTGGAAATTACAATGTATATTTCTTACAGTGGTTGAACTCACCTCTTAAGGTTGTTGATATATCTAAAGGTAACTAACACAAAGAAAATTGTTAGCAGTTACTCTTCTGTGACCTAAGACAATCGAGATAAAACCCCAAGGCCTCAGATCCACTTCTGCAAAATTATTGAAATTAAGGGTTTTTTTTCCTACTTCATTCAAACTCAGAATTTTCACTTATATAAGATATGTTAATTCTCTGCATACAGCAAGCAGTTTTAGATTTAGTGTTTCATCAAACCACATTCAATACAAAACTCTCTCTTAAACATGATCGAGGCCTCTTATAAGGTATTTTACAAAAGGTATAATTAATGACCAAGATTTGTCACTTCAAACTTTCACCATAAGCTTGCCTCTTAAAACCCTTCCCCATCCTGACTAGAAGCAGTTCTGTAAGTGACACTAATGTTCACATGAAGATGCAGATTTCATATATTGAGGTCCTGTACCTCAGTGATAATTACCTAATGTTCCTGATTAGTGTTTGCACTTGAAGCAAATTAGTGCAATATTAAACAATTCAAACCCAATGTCTTTTGCAATCATCTACTAATATTAGGCCATTTAAGTCTGAGAATAATTGCTCATTAATGTCTACACATATATACCATAATTACACCTCAGATATGTCTCAGTTAATCAGTTCCCTGACAATGAAAATTAGTAAGTATCCTGCTTCTGAGGAGAAATTTGGAAAGAGATGGGTTCAAAAGCTCCACTGGCATCATCAGGGCACTAACTACCACAGTACGTCAGAAGTGGGAGGATGTTTGTACGTCTTCTATCCAACCCTCATTTACAACTGAGGAAACTAAGACCCAGAAATCTGACCAACGTCACCCTTGTGGTACATGGTAGAATTGGACCTGAACCCTGTGAATCCAACTTGCTGGTTTCAAAAGTCAGTGAATCCATCTCCTCAGTGTTGGCAAGACCTCAGCAGGATTGACAGAGACAGAGTCTCAAAGCAAAAAATGACAATGCACCACACTGCAGAGGGCCTCTGCAGCACAGTTTCCATCTGCAGCCACAGCACTCTGCCCCCTGGTAGCCAGAAGTCTTTGAAGAGTTCAAGTCCAACTCAGTTCTGCATTGTGCCAAGTCTCTTGACTATCACACCTGCTCTGCCACACCTGCTCTGCAGGTTTCCAGGCCTCCTCCGCCTCCAACCCTCCATCACCCCCCCCCCCTTGCCACCTTTATCTTTCCTATGCATTTCTTACTGAGTGCTACCTTGGTATCAGCTTCAAACTAACACAGAGTCTAAAGCCAAGTTTTTTTCAGAAAGTTAGTGAGGGATGTTTTAAAAACATGCTTCACCCTATATCACAAGAACAGTGGTGATAGGATGGAAAGAAAATGCAAAAAATGGAAACAAAACAATGAAGGTGGGATGATTAAATGATAGATATGTTTTATTGAGAGAGACTATATATGTGAAACAAAGCAATAAATCTCAAAGACTTGGTGAAAGGGATAAAAACAATAGTTAAAGGGATATATACAATTTCACTGCCCTAAATAAGCAAGTAGAAAAGAGGGACATATTTTTAAATTTTTCTCAACCAGAAGTGAAATTTGTCAAGTAAAGTAAACTCCCAAATAGCAGCCAAGACTGAATTCCTCAAAAGGAACCAGGAAAATATCATGCAATCAACTTTGTGAGTTCACAGCCAGACATAGTCAGTGCAGCCATGCAGAGGGGTAACATATATGTAGCAGATTAAAGATGGTCACCAATTATCTGTTACTCCTTCCATAAAAAGTTGAGTTCTAATTTCCCGTTTTGAATTTGATGGGGTCATGGCATGCCTAATCGAAAGAAACTAGTACTTGGTAGAACTTTCCAAGTCTAGATCATTAGAAAATTTGAAGCCACCATGAAGACTTCTTGGAAAATTCTTTTCAGAGTCCTGAACTGTCATGGAAGAAGTTTGGTAAGTCTAAGACTGCCATGCTGGAAAAGCCATATGTCACAAATACTCTTAGCTGAAACCAGCTGCCAAACATCCCCTCCAAGATACCACACATGTGGTGAAGCATCCAAGGACTCTCCAAACTATGTTGAAATCACCAAGTTACCCCTGTAGATGTTATTCCATCAAGCCCTGCCCAAATTATTGACCCTGAAACTTATGAACCACAATAAATATGATTCTTGTTGAAGCTGTTTCTAATACCTTAACAGCATTTTAAAGCACAAAAGAGGATTATCAGGATCAGCATGTGATACTCAAAGCGCTCTACTAGGTAAATTTCCAGGGGACAGTTTTAGAAAATGTGGAAATAGTATTGTGTCTAACCTAAGAGAACATAACAGAAAGATGTGTGAATTAGGATGCTGAGGAAAGACACCCAAAAGTGGACATATTAAAGAGGAACAGACAAAGTAATAGCCAAATCCAAACTTAGCTTAGCTATTGGTTTGATGGGAAAATATCTTTTGGTGGGAATATCAAGTGTAGGAAGGTAAATGTGGAAAAGATCTAACAGATCTGGAAACTTTGGGGCAAACCCAGATCTTGTTTTATTCCATTTCTCTCAATAAAGGAAATCTCGTATTAGTGGGGTTTCTTCTTCCTTTTCTTATTTATTTATTTTTTTTGCAAAACAAAAGAATGTGCCAGAAAGGAAAAAGAAGTCAAAGTGGAAACACTGTAACAATGCAGCAAAGTGTTCTAGAATATTCTATGAGATGGAGAAGGAAAAGTCACATGAAAAGCAATAAACTGTTAGAAGTTCTTCTAAGTTTCCCTGATAGGAATAAGGGATTAACCGAAGGAAACAATACATGAGAGGCATTGCTCATTACTCAAAAAAATAAATGAAATAGCAAAAAGATATGCCACTCAAGGCTAAACTATTCAAAAGGTATGGAAAGGTGGTATTTTAAGAACAGATGACAGAGTTGTCCTCACTGGCTCATAAGGAGACAAACTGCAGGAGCATCACAAGGAGTCACTCCCCATAAACCTCAAAACTGAGGTTTGAAGATCTAAACAATTCTCTTATAAGAGGCAGGGACAAAACCACTGTGATATAAATCTACAAAGCCTATATGGGCATTGCCAAGTTTTGGTTTTTGTTATATTTCTGATTAGTTCCCAATAGAGTTTTGAAAAATATGTGGGTCCTTGTACAATTTTTAATTTGACAGGTGAAAAATTTCGCTACAAGTTTTAAAACAGTGTTAGAAAAGCTATAATTCCCAATAAATTGTAAATATTGACATAAAACAACACCATTTTAAATTTATCTGAAGAAATCTAAAAACCAAAACAACTAGATACAATCATCATCCACTTATAAATACAATAATAATCTCTTATTTTAACATTTGACTATCCTGTATCTTTTCCTTAAATTTATATTTCCGGGCCTTCCCTGGTGGCGCAACAGGTTAGGAGGACACAGCACTGCAAGTGAGCAGAAGCTGCTTCAGTGTGAGTTCGATCCCCCACCCCCACCATCACCAGCCCCAAGAGGTGACCCACATGGCACGGCAGACCTCT